TGACTGAAGGGACAATTTTAAGAGTGGATCATTGAGCAGTCGGGGAGGAGATGGGTGATAGACCATTTCAATGGTGAAGTCTCATTCAAGTGGTGCCAGCAAAATGCCCTCCTCAAATTTTTGTCCAGCAGCAACCTGTGAATTCAGGTTGGCACAACATCAGGCAGCCCAAAGGCACACAGCCAAAAAAAAGCCCAATGAAGTAAGTTATCGGGTGGAGTGAGGGGAAGTTTGGAGGGTCTTGGGGCTGCAAAAAGGACTTTTCTGTGGTGGTAGCAGCCCGCGTATTTTTCTTGGATTTAGAGCAACATCTAATTTCTCTTCATGTACACACAGAAGTAAGTTCATTACTTACATTTAAGAGTTATCACTTTTGGTTTGACAATCTCTGATACATTCTAAATCATTGAAAGGTGCTTCATCAGGCCAAATTGTTTCTAAGGCAAAGAAGGAGATACTGTGAGGGTCATTCATAATTCCATTAATTTTTCAATGGAATTTTTCCAAGTAAAATTGTTTTGTTTCGCTCTGGACTGTAATATTGGAGGCTGCAAGAAAATTCTCATGCCCTTCCAGCAATCACCCCATCACTAAGGAAAATCTGTTCTGCTGTTTGCTTGCATAGGATGATTAAAAGAAGTGAGAAGTGAGCAGGGTTTAGACTAATGGCTTAGACTGAATTAACTAAGAGGCATATTCATGTCCTGTAAAACATTACACTTCTCAGGATGAAGTGATTGAACTTACTCCATCAAGCAGCACCGTGGAAGGAGGATGTGTTCTAAAGATGGTCCCAAAACATTAACTCTGAATTCTCTTCACAGATGCTGCCAGACCTGCTGAGCTTTTCCAGCAACTTCTGTTTTTGTTTCTGACTTACAACATCCGCAGTTCTTTTGGTTTGTATTTAGTATTTAACTCACTTCCACATCTCTTCTAGGCATGCCACACCTTGAAAAGTTCTGCTCCTCTCTCCGATAATGTTCTGAGGATGGGTCACCGGACCCGAAATGTTAATTCTGACTTCTCTTCACGGATGCTGCCAGACCCGCTGAGCTTTTCCAGCAAGTTCTGTTTTTGTGACATGTTGGAAGGTGGGTGTTGTCATTCCGAAAGACATCTGGATACTTGGCAGCTAATAGCTCAAATTCTCCTTTTTCAAAAAAATGAGTTGGGTTCAATGACAGGATCGTTAATGTTCCCACAAAATAACATTGTGTGCAATATCTGTAAAATAAAGAAACATTTTCATCATCAAATACATATGTATTCAAAAATAGGTATTCAATACAAACTGGCAGAGCTAGAGAATTAAAAGTGAAAAAAAAGTGAGTAATATGCAGAGGGCATCTCATCATTGGATAGAAAATAGAAATTAGATCATGGATCAAGAAGAAATGGTGGAATGTTAGAGAGCTGATCCTTGATAAGATACCCTGCCCTTCACTAATGAGTATGAATTCGAAACAAGTTGCCATCATATAGAAGAAGTGTAGTAATTAACAGTTGAGTAATAGTGATTTACTCATAGACTATAATCCCCGTAGCAGTTTAACGGGTCATTACAATTAAAGCTGCTCTGGGTGCACAACTAAAATATGTTACTAAAGAGTAACTGTGAAGTTGACAGGAGGGCTAAGACAGATAAGTGGCAAAACTGGGTAAATGTTTCACCATGAAGTTAGGCAGAGTTGAGAAGATGCAGTGGCAAGAGATGGCCAGTGTATTTTGTGCCAATGACAACATTCACACAAATCAACTCAGAGCCTGAGCAAGATTTCTCCAGGCTAGATAAGTAAGAGTGATGAATCTAATAATGTACTAAGTATTTTAGCCAAGTGTCTGAATTGTCCTCAGACGACATTAAAATGCTTCAATAGCTTGTCGTGTCCAGTGGGTCATATGATCTTTCAAATCCCCAACCTTTACCTGAATACACTTTCCCACTCAGTCTTAACATGTAAATACTCTGCTTTCCTCACATAGGCATCCAACTGATTGGTGTGTGTGCATTTCTAATGCTCCTATTATGGGCTGCCTGCTGACAGCGGTTTTCCAGCACTGCATGCAGAAGAGACAGATCATTCTTACCTTCTGCAAAGATATGGCAACCCATAACAGCAAAGAGAAATTAGCAACTCATGGTAGACTCAGAAATGACTGATGTGTTTGCTTTCCTTGTAACAGTGTTCTTCTACATAAACATCCCCTACCACATCCCTAAGAATCTGAGCAGAAGCACTTCTGCAAATTTTTCATTGCGCTTTCACTTTCAGATAGATTGGTCAGAGCTTCTTTAGATTCAAACTTTCAGTTGTGTTTCCAAAATAATTTTCAATGTTATTGCTTCCTAAAGATAATGCTGGTCTTCAAATCTACCATGCATCCCTCTGATCCCTATGAAGGGAAAGCTTTTAGGTAATACTGGATGAAGCCACCGAAGGAGCTGAAGGTGGAGAAGTAGCAAGCAGCAGGTTTGTGATGATCTTATTATTCTTCTCAGCCAGACAGGAGTATAACACAATGGATGTGAAAGACAGTGTGGCGTATAACATGGTTCATATGGAACAGGGATCTGGCACAATGGATCCCTGCCCTATCTGCTCTTTCACCAAGTGCCAGAAAATAATTATGTGGCTGACACCTCCAACCTCAGTTAAAGACTTTCCAAATTAGTAAAAGCCCCAGTAATCAATTCAGTAGGATATTTGTTAATCAGAAAGATAACAGGATCAACCAATTTTCAACTTGATGTGTTTTATGAACAAGTTAAAGCAGTACCTCTTTGAAGTAGGATCTTTCTCTATCTTGCGTGAGCTTTCCCTCTCACACAGAATTTGCAATGAATGAACGAGCCTTGTCCAAAAGCTGAAATCCACTTTTGACCACATTTTGCACCTGAGGGTTTTCACATTGTACAAAGTGCACCATTTTCTTACTAGCACAGAAAGACAATTAAACAGGTCACTTATTGCGCAAAAATGGTTATTTTCTAGGAATATACTGGGATAATTTTTTTCATTTGTATTACTTTTGACTGTACTTGGCTGATTTTGGGTTGACAAAAAAAGCAATAAAATAGGAACAATACAGTCAACATCACCACAAAACTATCCCAAAAAAGATTTGTGCAGATCTATTCAGAGTCTGTTCCATGACATGTGAATAGGGATAGGTGGGTGTGAAGTGGGCTTTCATGCAATTTACCACAATAAGTATCCCAAAAATGACTGCTGACAACCCAGTCATGACCTATGACTGAGCTGTATGCACAGTAACAGCAGTATTCCTGAAAACACCAATGCTCTTCGAAAGTTCATGTTTGGGATATGGATGTTGCTTAATATTCTTAATATCTCATTTAAAACAATAAATAGAGGAATGTTGTTCACCTGTGTTCATTATGATTATATGTGAAATTATTATAATTATATGTGAAATTGAGAACTGCAATTTATATTTATTTTGTTTTTAAACAAAGTCTTTTTGTTGGTTTAGTCCTGATTGCAATTCATCGTGTCCTTACTTATATGTGACTATGAAACAGGTAACATAATTCAGAAATAGAATTACTTTGTGTGAGATAGGTTATCCCCATCCAGGGAGTCTGGTCTAAATTTAAGGGTAGTGCATCTACAATCAAACCTTGGTTTGGTGGTATTATTCCAAATTCATTGAACTGCCAGCCTTTTTCATGGTACACGGGGCAAGTTATTTGTAAACATGATTTGTAGTTTTCTATGCTAGGCACAGAAAGTATGCCACCATTACCTAAAAACAAAATTAGCAGCGCTAAGATTATAGAATTTACAATCATTTACAGAACCAAACATCCATTTCAACTGCAAACATAAGAAGCGGTAAAAACAAGCAACTTTCATGTTCTTTCTTGGCCTCTAGGAAGCAATCTGGTTTGTTTTTGTCATTTCTAACACTGCAAGCAGCAAAGGAGAACATACAAGTAGAGATGGAAATGAAACCCTGCCCCATTTACTCTTTTCTATTCAAATTATTTAAAAATAAATAATGCATTAACGCAACCCAAGTTTTATTTCTTGTGATCAAATAAATTATAATTGAGAAATACTTCCTCCAATTGGAGGTGATGAAATAATTTTTTCTATACACCAGAGCAGTCCGAAAGGAAATGGGCATTTATTCTGAGTAGAATTTCTACTTACACAAAAGACATATACATAAATGTTTCTGAACCACTTTTAAAATACATCTGGTGCATGTCATTAGATACTCAATGTATGACAACCATTTCAGAACATGGTTGACCAGGTATGTCTGTGTCAGCTCTGAAGTAACATTGATACTAGCTAAAGAGAGGTTCCTAAATCTCACAGTCATGTATTCCATTTGAAAAAGGTCAGTTCATTAATAGAAAATTTTACTGTTTTATGGGTATAGTTAAGTGGTTCAAAATTTATTAAAAGTTTAATAGCAGGTGATCTGAAAATGAATGATCAAAGTTACACAGTAAACAAATCCCAAATCCTACGATAATTGCCCTGATCTCCCTCTGCCGAGGAGTAAAAAGTGACTCTTCACAATTTTCATGCTTTCTCATTAAAATAATCTCATCAGCTGGCTGTAGTTTCTGGTGTTGAGGGGTTTAGGGGCAGAGAAATCAATTCATTTAACTTAATCTGAAGCCTGAAAGAAAACATAAAATGTTGGATGCATTTGTTAATAGTTTTACAGAGACACTGGGAGTTCTGATGAAGTATCCCAGCTGAAATCTTAACAATTTTCCTTTCAAATACCACTCTTCCTCTGAAGTAGATGGAACAGTGAAAAGGTTGTGGCAAGTGTCTTGTGGATTAGAATTAATAATGGCTTTCACTCCTGAATAGTGGGGGAAATCCAACAAGAAGGAGAAAGCGCAATCACCTCATGGTTTAAATGCTTCCAAGGACACACTTTGTTTCTGCATTTCCTGTGACAAAACCAGTTCAGACAAATCTCTGATGAATCCTTCTAGTTCTGTCAATGTTGAAATTTACACTGTCCCTGCGGAATGTGAGATATATAAACTGCATGTTGGTATGAATTTCCAAGAAATATTCACAGCAGAACATTTAAATGGATTCTCTTGTAGGCTTGCACTTAATCCACTCAATTATTTTCTGTACTGCAACCAGAAAATAAATATATGGAGCAGTAGACAAAGAAAATGATACCCCGATGAAATCAGTTTTCTATTTGGATTGACGAGTACATGCTGAGGTCTGGAATTCAATGTGACTACATGGCCATCCTTCCTTCTGGACATGCAGCCTTTGATACAATGATCAAACCAGCCTCCTCCAAAGCCTGTTTGTCATCCAGTGGGTGGGCTCTAGTGTTACCTGGTTCTAATTCTCTCTGTCCAGTTGTGATCAGAAAATCATCTGTACTGGCTTTTCTTCCCACTCTCACATCACCATCTCTAGAGTTCCTCAAAATTCAATCCTTGTCCTTCTCCTGATTCCCACATACATGGAGCCCCTCAGCAACATCATCTGAAAATACAAAGTCAGGTTGTCCAGTGCTGGATAAACAGAAATTTCCTACAATGAAATACAAGGGAGAATGAAGCCAATTGTTTTTGGTCCACATCACGCCCTGTTCCCTAATGACGACATCCCCCTCCCCACCCACTATCTGATGCTGAAGCAGCCCATTCAGAACCTTGGTATCAACCTGACACAAAGATGATCTTCTCCCCCATATCTGCTCCATCAGCAAGACTACTTAATTCCACACCCGAAAGATTGCCTATATCCGTTTGGTGCTGAAATCCTCATCCATGCTGCTGTTATATTTAGACTGAGCTTTTCCATTGCTCGCTCAGTCAGTCACCTACACTGCATAAAACATAAATTTGAGCTTACTCAAAACTGCAATCCACAAAATGTCACAGTTACCCAAAGAGATGAACTTTGGGCCTTGTTCCAGCAATACCTCAACTTGAAAATTCCCCTCCTAACTTTCAAATTTCTCAATGGCTTCGGCTCTGTTTTTCTCTCAACTCCTCTGGTTCTAAAACCCTCCTGAATACCTCAAAGTTCATTTGATTCTGTCTTCTTACACATCCCCAATTCTAATTGCTCCAACATCAGAAGCCATGCCTTCAGTTGTGTCACCCCTGAGCTTTGCAATTTCTTCTGTAAACCACTCTCAACTTTAAAACCTACCTCTTTGAGCAGTTGTGGTCACCAGTCCTCATATTGCCTTATATGCCTCATATGAATTTTGTTTGATATCACCATGTGCAGAGTGTTTCAAGTACTATACAACAGCAAGTTGTGTGTATAAACAACAAACTTTCATGTACAAAGATCAACCGCATGGCAAGAACTAAAACCAGACTTACATTGGTACAGTGATTATACTGAAAATTAAAGCAGTCAATGTTTTCCAGCTTGTAGCCCTGCATTAAAAACAAAGTTATTGACAATTTGAAGAATAGTCAGCCAAATTCTGCAGTTTAAACTTGACTATTTATATTTTCCTGTTTTTCTGTGAAATACAAGTTATATTTGAGACAATATCTGGAGTACTGTGAGCAGTTTTGGTCATCTTATTTAAGAAAAGATATTTCACTGAAGGCAGTTCAGAGATGGTTCACCCGAATGATCCCAGTATGGAGGGATATTTTATTTGCAAAGACTAAACAGGTTGGGACTCCACTCATTGGAATTTAGAAGAAACATTTAGGATTCTTAAGGGACTTGGCAGGGTAAATGCTGAGAAGATGTTTTCGCTCATGGGAAAGTTTAGGACCAGAATTTCAGAATTAAAGGGCACCAATTTAAAACTGAGATGAGGAGAAAACTTTTTCCCTCAGAGAGTTATGAACTCCTTGCTACAGAGTACTTGAGTATAATTAAAGTTGAGACAGATAGATTCATGATCAGTAGGGGAATCAAGAGTTATGACAAAAGGGCAGGAAAATGGATGTGAGGAATGTCGAATCAACCATGAAACTACTGAATGACAGAGCAAGCTCAAGGAGCCGAACAGTCTACTCCTGTTCCTATTTCTTAAAGGCTTAAGTTTACAATTCAGAGAGGTAAGCCATTTGTAAAAAAATCTTTATCTTTCTCGTACAATGCTCATGAGCCTAGCTCCCTGATCACTTGATCACTTTACAAGATTAGCAGGACACCTTCCCAAACTATAACTATAGTTATAACTAAATGTTCATGACTGGATTCTGGTTCTTACAGATGAGCATCAACCAAGTATTAAGGATCCCTTTTGAATTGTGTAATAAAGAGGAAGAACTTACCTGCATTATTAGTCAATGATCATGACTTAATCGGTATAGTTTGATTGAATGATTTTTCTTCTGTTTCATAAAATCTAGAATGACACAAGAGGACACATTTGCATTATGCTTAAGCCCTAGAAACATCAGGCATTATATAGATAAAACCACACTTTATTTCATAAGGAAAGTGAGCTTTCTTACAGGATTGTCATATTTTGACAATCAAATCCTGAAGAAAATGATACAGAAGGTCATGAAACTCTATCAAAGATTGAATGAATTGATATAAACTGTGCAAAGCACGTCATTCAATTTGCATATGCTCTTGGGATTTCAACTTAAGCATGCAGTTCATTAAGTAACATTACTGAGAGTTGCAAGCCATAAGAAGCCAAGGCGAAATATTATTTTTCCAGTTTTAGTTTTGTTTTCTGCTGTAAGAACATTTCTTAGGTAGGGAAGTGTGTTGAGAATGTGCTGGTCTTATTAATTAATTCTGATTATGTTGAGGGGATATCAATCTTTGCATTAATTTATTCAATTAAAGATATTAAAAAGAAACACAAAATCATACAATGCAGGAGGCCAGTGAGCTCATCATGATTGCACGGGCTCTTTGGAACAGCTACCCAATTAGTCCTATTTCCCTACTCTTTCTCCATCGCCCTGCAATTTATTCATCTTCAATTAATTATTATCCAAGTCTCTCTGTAAGTTGTGCCAAACTCTTGCACCATTCTTCCAACCTATTTCCACAATCTTTCAAGCAACGAGTTCCAGACTTTCATCTGATCCCAATAGCCAAGTATTTATTGCTGGAATTGCCTGTCATTGTGAAATTTAACAGCGTGTAAGTTACTAACTAGAGCAGTACAATAGGAGGTAAAATTCGAGAACCAAGGACATTACTGAAAGAATGAAGATACACATTTCCACAATCTAAAGCATCTAATTTTACTAACTTTTAAATAATCATCATCTTAGGTAATTAGACTTCACATCAAAAAGCAGAATTAACCACAACCTCCAACTGAACACTCCTTTTCCATCGAAATGTCTTCAGACAGCCTTTGGCTGTTTTTCAGATATTTACTTATTTATTATTGATCAGAAATGTATATTTATTGGAAAGTTATGCACTTTCTTAGGACCAATTCTAAACTTTTCAACAACTGCCTTGGAAGAGAAGAAAGGTAAAAGGATGTAAATGAAGGTGTGAAAGGGAAAGAATCGGTTGTATTGTGTTTGTGTCTTGTTCATATTGCATTTAATAGATGCTCTGCCTTTCACACTTTAACTTACACCTTTTTTTGCATCTTATTTCTTTATCCACTATGAGCAACCCCTTTGTTTTTTGCGATGACAAGGTGTAGAGCTGGATGAACACAGCAGGCCAAGCAGCATCATAGGAGCAGGAAGGCTTTGTCTTTTGCACTGGGTGTCTATACCATCTGCCCTCTTCCTCATTCTCTGTCAAATGTATAAAAAAAATTCCAACATCTTTCAGTCAACACCATAATCCCTACCAGACTAATATCTAAACTCCAAGACCTAGGTCTTGGCTCCGCCCTCTGTAACTGGATCTTCAGCTTCCTGACCCACAAACAGTGTAGATAGACAACAGCATTTCTCCACGATAATCCTCAGAACTGGTGCCCCACAAGGATGCGTACTCAGCTACCTGCTGTACTCCTTGTATACGCACGACTGGGTAGTCAAATCCTAAATGAACGCCATCTGCAATTTTGTTAATGACACCACCGTGGTAGGACGGATATCAAACAACAATGAGTCAGAATACAGGAAGGTGATAGGATGCTTGGTGACATAATGCAATGATAACAAACACTCTCTCAACATCGGCAAAACAAAAGAACTGGTTGTTGACTTCAGGAAGAAAGATGGAGGTCATGCCCCTATCTACATCATTGGAGCTGAGATGGAGATGGTCGAGAGCGTCAAGTTCCTGTGAGTGATGATCACCAACAATCTGTCCTGGACCACCCACATAGATGTGATGGTCAAGAAAGCACAACAATGCCTCTACTTCCTCAGGTGGCTCAGGAAACTCAGCACGTCCATAAGGACCCTCACCAACTTTTACAGATGCACCGTAGAAAACATTCTACCTGTGTGCATAACAGCCGGGCACGGCAACTGCGCTGCCCTGGATAGTAAGAAACTACAGAAAGTTGTGTGCACAGCCCAGACCATCATGAAAGCCAACCTCCCATCTGTGGACTCCATTCACGCTTCTCATTGCCACAGAAAGGCTGCCAACATCATCAAAGACCCATCCCACCCTGGTAATGACCTCCTACAATGTCTTCCGTCAGGGAGAAAATACAGAAGCTTGAACACACTCACCAACAGGTTCAAGAACAGCTTCTTCCTTGCGGTTATTCGACTGCTGAGTGGACCTCTCTAATTTCAAATAATGTTGATTTTGCTTTGTACACCTCTGCGCATCCGTAACCTTGCATGCGCTCACTCTATCTAGCACCCTATGATCTGTATGTCCTTGTTTGCTATGATCTGCCTGTATTGCTGACAAAGCAAAGCTTTTCACTGTACTTAGGTACATGTGACTACAATAAATCAAATCAAATCAGTTCCAAAGAGTCATACTGCATTCCAAATGTTAACCCTGTTTCTCTCCAAATGCTGCCAGACCTGCTGAGATTCTCCAGCATCCTGTGCATATATTTTAAAATATATTTGCATTTAAAAACAGAGCTTCCTTTTCCACGTAACCATTTACGCCCAGTATCACTAATTATTTCCAAATACGTACAATCTATGGTCTAACAGTCCAGTATTTCAGAATCGACTCACGCAGGATTCTGTGCAGATCCTTACCTGATTCTCTAACAATGTCAGAAATGTCCCAGTATCAGCCCACTGGAGCAGAGGCAGTTTGTCAGCGAGTCTGGATGGGTCAATCGCACAGAGATCCGACGCAAAATCAGAGAAATCGAAACTTAGTGAACTTCCTGCTTGTACTCGGAAGTCGTATTTGATGGGTAAAGCGAAGCTCTGAAGGCGCCAATGGCATTGAAATATTAGGAAGCATTTTTTCTCAATGATGGAGAACAATTTTGACATATTAGGCTGGGCGAATGTAAATACAAGACGCACACAATCACAGTTCACAGAACACTGACGACAGGTTGTAAGAAGTCACTGTGATGACTCACTAATAGGATAGAGTTTCAGACTGGGGGCTTCAGGCTTAGACCAGACAGAGGAAATATGGTTTTAAGGCTTTATAACCGATGCACCGCTTATTATCCCATTGGGTTTAACCACAGCTGAAGTGCAGTATTTTCAGAAAATGTTGCTAACCACTAGAATTTCAGAGTCATGCTGCAGGTACTAACTCATCTCATTTTGTTTTGACAATAGATGTGAAGAAAACGATTGAAAGAAAATAGTTCATAAAAGTCCCACATAATGTGACCCTGAAATCAACTGACCACAAATGCTTCAAGTTCAGATTTTTTTAACACAGGGTCTTCCTCACTTCCACAATCTGGCAAGTTCACTCATGTCGCCGTTGATAACCCGCACACTAGCAGCCAGAGGGACATCATGGGATATTGATGAAATATTGGAACAATGTGGTTGATTCCACTTCTCCCACAGACATTGATCTCTGTCTCACAAAGAGGGCCACTCTGTGCTGTGATGTAGGCCTTGACTCTGGCCCATCGCCACCTATCTACAGATGAGCAACAAATATTAGCTCAGCAGGTGAAATCCACGGCCCTAAACCAATATAAATGGTCGAAGCCCAGCCAAGTTCATGGCACGAATGCAGCACAGGGGACCATTTGACCCTTCGTGTCCATACTGGCTCACTGCAACAGCATCTCAGCCGGTCCCACTCCTTCATTTTTCCCCCAAACCTTTTTTAAGATACTTACCCAACTCCCTTTTGAAAATCCGGATTGAATCTGCCTCCACCACACTGTCAGGCAGGTTCCATGTCTGAATCACTTACTGCATAAACTTTTCTTCTCTTGTTACCATTGGTTCCTTTGTCAATCTATGCTATCTGGTTCTCAAACCTTTCTTAAGGGGGGACAGTTTCTCTCTATCTATTGTGTTGGAGCCAGTGCCTGACAAAATGTCTTTCCAGCTTCTCTGTTTTATCAATGCGACCAAAGTCCCTGACTCCTGAAACCATTTAAATGAATCTTTCCTGCACCCTTTCAGCCTAACGTCAGCAGTGGGGAAACTATCGGAAGCAATTCTGAGAGACAATTAATCTGCATCTGGAGAGGCAGGGATTTATCAAGAACAGGCAGCATGGTTTTGCTAAGAGAGTTATTTCTGACCAAATTCATTAAATTTTTACAAGGGGTGACTAGATGTGGAGATGTGGCCAAAGCCTTTGATGCAATCTACTTGGATTTCATTAAGGCTTTTTATAAGGTCCCACATGGGACACTGAAGGCAAAGGTAGGAGCCAAAGGGATCCAAGAATGTTTGGCAAATTAGATCCACAATTGGCTGAGTCGCAAGAAGCAGACAGTGATGGTTGAAGGGTGTTTTCCTGCCTGGAAGTGTGGGTCCAATGGGATCCCACAGGGGTCAGTATTGGGGCCCTTACTGTTTGTGGTTTCTACAAATGATTTAGATTTGTATGTGGGAGGGTTGATCAGCAGGTTCACAGATGATACAAAACTTGGTGGGATGGTAAATAGTGAGCAGGATAGCGTTAGATTACAGAATATAGATGGGTTGATCAATGGCAAATGAAATTCAATCCAGCTAAGTATGAAATGAACGTGGGCGGATCAAACAAGGCAAGGGAATATGTGATGAACAGTGGGACCCTGGGAAGCACTGAGGATCAGAGGGACCTTGGTGTGCATGTTCACCAGTCCCATAAGTTTCAGGACAGGTGAATAAAATGGTTAAAAAGGCATAGATTATACTTGCCTTTATGAGTCAAAGCATAGAGTTTGAGAGCAGGGAGGTGATGTTAGAACTGTATAAGGTGTTGGTTAGGCCACAGTTAGAGTATTGTGTGCAGTTCTGGAACCCACAGTATAGGAAGGATATGATAGCCCTGGAGAGGGTGCAGATTTACTTGATGTTACCTGAACCACAGAGTTTTGGTTATGAACAGAGATTGGACACTGCGGTTGTTTTCCTTAGAGCAGAGGAGATTGAGAGAGGACATGATTGAGATGTATAAAATTACAAGGGGCATAGTTGTATTCAGGAAGAAACTGCTCCTCTTGATAGAGGGTTCAAAGACCAGGGGCATAGATTTGAGGGAAGGGGCATAGATTTAGAGGAAATATAATGAAAAAAATTTCACTCAGAGAGAGATGGGAATCTGGAACTCACTGCCTGTAAGAGTGGTAAGGCAAAAACCTCATAACATATAAGTATTTAGATGTGTATTTACAATGCCAAGGCATACAAGGCTATGGGCCAAATGCTGGAAAATGGGATGAGATAGTTGTTTTGACTGATACAGATGTGATGGACAAAGAGCCTTTTTCTGTGCTGTAGACCTCTATGTTTATGACTGTGACTCTATGAACCTCCAAAGTCTTCACTTTATTCCTAAAAAGTGGTTCTGGAACTGGACACAATGCTCTATTCAAGGCTGAAATGGTGTTTTATGAAGGCTCGTCATAACTTCCTTTTATACATTATCCCTCTATTTAAAAAGCTTGGGACCTTTCATACTATAATAACTCCTTCTCAACCTGTTCTGCCATCTTCAAAAAAATATGTGCATTTGGGGCAGCACAGTGGCTCAGTGATTAGTACTGCTGCCTCACAGTGCCAGGGACCTGGGTTTGATTCCACCCTTGGGCGACTGTCTGTGTGCAGTCTGCACATTCTCCCTGTGTCTGCGTAGGTTTCCTCTGGGTGCTCTGGTTTCCTCCCACAGTCCAAAGATGTACAGGTTAGGTGGATTGGCCATGCTAAATTGCCCATAGTGTCCAGGGGTGTGTAAGTTAGGTGGATTACACATGGGAAATGCCAGGTTACAGGGAAATGGGTCTGGGTGGGATGCTCTTCGGAGGGGCAGTGTGGACTTGTTGGGCTGAATGGCCTGTTTCCACACTGTGGGGATTCTATGATTCTAAACTGCAATACCCTCTTTAGAATTTTATAAGGTATTTTCCTATTTTCCTTTGCCTCTTTGTTTTTGTTCTATGTATTCGAAAATAAGAGCCTAAAAGTAAACTCGTAGCTGGATCTTTAAATCTCATCAACTAGGCTTTGGTTCAAGAGTGTAGAACTGAAATGAGCTTCAGTACTTTCTGACGGCCACCGATGTCACCTGACCTGAAAGCGGACAAGGTCAGCATGAATTTACAAAGAAATGTTTAAATAACTTTGCAAAGTAATGATTGTTGCATGCAAGGGCCAACCACCTTAAAACTGTCTACCACTCCCTGAAAAGCCTATCGAAGGGTAATTGTCTGGAAATTAAAATTCATCAACTGAGAACTTCATGTCTTTGGGAATGAGACCTTATCACTATCGATATTGCCAGAGCAAAGATCATTCTTTGAAACCCTTTATGCAAAGAGAAGGACTGCAAACTACACCCCCATGATAATGGGAAATTGAAAGTCTTGTTAAAAACCGATTGTCCCCATTTCGGGCCACAACCAGTATTCACACATCAAGTCACCCCAGCACCCTCCATGAGAAGCCATGATTTGTTTATTTTTAATAATTTATGGGATGTGGGTGTCACTGACTGGCCAACCATCAAACCCTGCTTTGAGACACAGTTCGTTACACACAGGTGCCCAACTACCACCATCTTCAGCAGGTTCTCTTCTCCCAGCTCTCGACTGGCCATCGCTCAAACAGCAGCCACAGGCCAAGTTATTAGAATAGAATCCATGACATCCTGAAGGACAGGGGCTTTCACAACACAGACTGAGTAGAAAGCTGCTGACCATTTGGCATTGCACCCCAATTCATTAAGGCACAAGCTATTCCAGGCTCAGTGACTTGACTGGAAGGTGGGGTAGCAATAGCAAAAGAAGGAGAAGGAAGCTAGCACAGCTAAATAATTTATGCCTTTATTTCAATGGAATGAGGGATGACCTTATTGAAACATACCAGAGTCTGAGGGGTCTTGACAACTTAGATATTCAGAAGGTGATTCTATTAGTGGAGGATTCTCAAACAAGAGGACGCTCATTTAAAACTGAGATGTCAAGGATTTTCTTATCATAAAGTAGCGAATGTCTGGGATTCTCTACTCGGGAGAGTCATGAAGGGAAATTACTCAAAGTATTTAAAGAAGCAGAACATAGATTTTTAAAATATCAGGTTTTTATTCACTCACGGGATATGGGAGTCGCTGGCTGGCCAACATTTATTGCCCATTCCTAGTTGCCGTGAGAAGGTTGTGGTGAGCTGCCTTCTTGAACTGCTACAGTCCATGTGCTCTATGCCGATGCACAATAGTGTTAGGGAGGAAATTCCAGGATTTTGACTCAACATCAGTGAAGGAACAGCAATATAGTTCAAAGTCAGGATGGCGAGTAGCTTGGAAAGGAACTTGAAGGTGATGGTGTTCTCGTGTGTCAACTGGCCTGATCCTTCTAGATTAAAGTGGTTATGGGTTTGGAAGCTGCTGTCAAAGGATCTTTAGCAAATTTCTGCATATTGTAGATAGTACACACAGGTGAGACTGAGCATCGGTGACGGAGGGAATCCTTTATCCTGGATGGTGTCAAGCTTTTTGAGTGTTGTTGGAACTGCACCTATCTCGGCAAGTGGGGAGTATTCCATCACCCTCCTGACTTGTGCCTTGTAGATGATGGAAGGCTTTGGGGAATCAGAGGTGAGTTATCACCTAGCCTCTGACCTGTTCTTGTAGCCACTGCATTTATCTGGCAAGTGCAGTTGAGTTTCTGGACAATGGTAATCTCCAGGATGTTAATAGCGGGGGATTCAGTGATGATAATACCAGTAAATGTCAGGGGGCGATCGTTAGATTGTCTCTTATGGGAGATGGTCACTACTTGGCATCTGTGGTGTGAATATCACTTGCCAATTGTCACCCCAAGCCTGGATATTGTCCAGATCTTGTTGCATTTGGACATGATCTGCTTCAGGTATTTGAGATGCGAATAGTGCTGACCATTATGCAAACATCACCGAACATCCCCACTTCTGACGTTATGATGGAGGCAAGGTCATTGATGAAGCACTTAAAGATGGTTGGGCCGAGGACACAACCCTGAGGAACTCCTGCAGAGATGTCCCAAAGCCGAGATGACTGACCTCCAACAACCATAGGCACCTTCCTATGTGTCAGGTATGTCTCCAACCAGCAGAATTTGCCATCTGATACCCACTGCTTCCAGTTTTACTACGAGCACTTTGATGTCACTCTCGGTTGAATGTGGCTGTCACACTCAATGCAAGTGTTTTTTAAATACCGTTCCCTAAAATTCACATAGTGCCAAAATCAAATAATTCAATAGGAAAAGGGCAAAGATAAACCAGATAATTAACAATAGGTTCTCTCTCTCATCATCAAAACAAGAAATTGACAAGATGGACTTGAATCATTTAGTTATCCAAGCTCCAAATTCAGGTAAGTAATGTTGAATATATATTTTCCATTTATTTACAAAATTAAACAAACTTTAAAAATAAATGATTAATTGACCACGAACACAACTTTCAAATAAATATTACTAAATGCAGTGTTGATAATTGTTGTGATACAGAAATTCATCCAGGTTTAATGTACATTCGAACATATGAATTAGGAGTGTAGTCGGCCATTCAGTCACTCTAGTCTGCTCTGCCATTCAATAAAATGATGCGGTCTATTTGTGTTTTGAATTCCACATTCCCATCCACCCCTGATAATCTTTGATTCCCTTACCTAACAATAATCTAGCTCCCTCTACCTTAAACATATTCAAAGACCCCACCTCCACCACCTTCCAAGCCAGGTTTCCAAAGTCCAAAGTATATACAAATACTGTTCTGAACTTCAGACATAAATTTCTATTTTAGTTTTTGCAGCTCAATATTATAGTTTTGAGCACTCAAGGCATCGGAACATTTTAATGACTGTAATATTACAGTTTGTGAGTCACACTTTACAGAAAAACATTAGCACAATAAGACAACCTTCATTAAACTGCATTCTGTAGGTCATCAGGTGTGTAAAATAAAATGTTATTATCTACATGAAAATTAAATAGTTTTAAGTTGTGTATAATTCTTCCTCTTCTTTTACGCTTAAGAAATTGCAAGGTGAATCTAACCCCTACAGGAGCAGGCATTCTATTGCAGATGTACCCATGGGCATTCAGAAGCCTGCTTAAAGATTCCACCTCAGCACAGTTCCCATATGGCCAAAATGCACGGTCATTGTTTTGTTGTTGTAGATTATTTCCTATGTCTGGGAACATATCCAGGCATTTTCTACAAGGTGGTATGGGGGTATGTTGTTGATGTTTGCCATTGCCTGAATATGTTCTTGTCTGCATGTTAGAATTACTCTTTATTTGGTACGCATTACAATACACAATAGGGCGGAATTGAATAGCCTGTTGGAGGCCTGTATTCATTCTCTCTGAAGCCATACATACTGCCAGGCTAATATCTTCATTCCATGTGCGGTAACACAGTATGTCTATCATGAGTTCTCTCTGATGCCTTCCAAAGCATGAAACTGAGGCACCAAAATAATTGTCTGTTTTCTGTTTTGTAGCCAAGTTGTAGAAGAAACAGCAGCTGATAACTGTTGATATATAACAAAAGACATTCCCACATCTCCTGCCTTCTTGGGGATTTTGATCCACAGTCATTTGTGTATTTAGACTTGAGAGAGTGTCTAAAATTAATTCGGTAATGTTTGATTTTTCCAAGTCAACCACCTGAGAAAAGAAAAGAAAATTTGTAATATCTTTTCCCAGTGCAGTCGGTAAACACTTAACATGTTAAACTCACATTCATCTGTCCATTATTTTCACTGATGGCTTTGTAAGCTTATTGAAATACATTAGAGCCTCCACTAATGCAGTAGAGAGCAATCAAAGACTAATATTGCAAATTAAGTTCCAGGCTAATATTGTATCAGAGATAGTAGGAACTGCAGATGCTGGAGAATCTGAGACAACAAGGTGCAGAGCTGGTTTTCTGATGAAGGGTCTAGGCCCGAAACGTCAGCCTTCCTGCTCCTACGATGCTGCTTGGCCTGCTGTGTTCATCCAGCTCTGCACCTTGTTGTCCCAGGCTAATATTTCTGTGTTCAGTGGTAAATGAAATAATGTTTGCTTTGGTGATTCTGTGCCCCTAAAAATGTGGGACGTTTGCACTACAGTTTTGCAGTTATCCACTGTTGAACATTCTTAAATAGATTGCAAAGTAAGTTTTCAGTTCTCTGTACCACGGTTCTGCCCGTACTTCACCAAAGAATAACACTCCATCTCACTTCACATTAATGTTGATCATAGAATCCCTACAGTGTGGAAGCAGGCCATTTAGCCCGTTGAGTCCACACTGACCCTCCAAAGAGCATCCCACCCAGACACAACTGCTTACCCTATCCCTGTAACCCTGCATTTCCCATGGCTAATCCACCTTTCCTGCACATCCCTGGACACTATGGGCAATTTACTTGGCCATGCCTACTAATCTGCACATCTTTAGACTATGGGAGGAAACCAGAGCACCCAGAGGAAACCAACTCAGACTCTGGGAGAACCTGCAAACTCCACACAGACAGTTGCCCAAGGTTGGAATCAAACTCAGGTCCCTGGCACTGTGAGGCAGCAGTGCTAACCATTGAGCCACTGTGCCAACCTAATGTTGTATTTCCATTTTCCAGAGATCGACCTTAAAGCCTCTCTAACTAAGTTTTCTCTCTGGTGCCATTTTCCATAGTAAGAACTGGATTGTAAACATCAAATTTATGCTGTGCAAACATTTACCTAATTAGTCAATGTTGGAATTGAATTTAGTTTTTTGAGCTAAAAGGTCAGTGGGTTATTTCACAGTATCATATATAAGTATCAATGCTCAACTTAGTTGTAAGCAGAATGGAACGGATACTAGTTAAACTAATCATTTAGCTATCTCAATGTACAACAGATAATTTTGGAAAAACATCATTTGTTCATCACAAAAACAGAAACATGCATATTAATACAGGTTTTGCCATTAAAACAATCCTAATGCCCTTCACAAATGAAAACCATGATGGGAGAGATTAGGAGGGGTATGACTGAAAGGTTGGTCAAAATCCTGGAATTTAAACAAAGCTTTTCAAGATGAAGGGAGAAATAAAGAAGGTTTAGTTGGTGCATCCCAGGTAATAAAGGTGAGGCAGCTGCTGGCTTTGCCACAATGGTGGAGTGAATGGAAAGGAAATGCATAAAAGACCAGTGGGGACCAGAGACTGTGGGAGGCGATAAGGCCACAAAGGACAGAAATGCAGGAGGTCAAGCTCTCATGAGACTTGAAGCCAAGGATAAGAATTTTAAAAGTAATGTGCTGGAGGAATCATGAATCTAGAGTAAGGATGGGAGTAATGTATGAATGAGACTTAATATAGGAAAGAAAATTCGCAATTAACATTTGGACATGTTGGACTTCTTGATGAGTCGAGGATTGAAAGCAGATATGATTGTGTACATTTGACAAAAATGTGGATAAGAATTAGAAATAAGTCTTGATGATGTGAAGTTTAATGCTATACTCTGGATTGAGCAAAATGCTAAATTTTTGCACACAGTCTGTTTCAGAAAAATTTGATGAATAAGAGAGATGGGGCTGGAGTCAATGACAAAAGGAACAGAACTTATGGCATGTACAAAAATCAATCACTTTGGTCTTTCCCAGGATCAGTTGACGGACGTTGTGATTAATTTATGATTTGATGCAAATCGAAGGGCACTTAGATGATTTTGAGATTGAAAGAGGTCATGAAATATATACTTGAATGGCAGCAGCATTCATGTGATATTCAATTCCATGTCTATGCATAATGTCATCTCTGGGTGTGATGCAGCGATGAAGAAGAGTGGGGCTAAAAGATAAATGCTTGGGGCATTTTGACAGACTAGAAGGAAATGTATTCCCAGAGATATGCCGGCTGGACTTGGATACTGTAAGGTACCTTTAGTTTTTGGTGTCTTTTTATTTAAAGAAATAATTTAACTTTGTTCATTCCCAGGATGCTGTAAGGTTTAATATGTCAAGGTACATTTTAACTGTTATTATTGTTTAACTGATAACAAAAACTAGAGGACATATGATTTGTGTGCTTGCACATTGCACTGTAGCCAGGACAGTTTTGAGGTAAAATGAGTGGAAAAATGGAGGCAGGATGAAAACAAGTTTGCATCTGCCATTTTGAAAAAAAAAGTTTGCGACTAGGCGTCCTTTTTAACAATAATATTTGCCATGCTAGAGTTAATTAGTATTGACAATATTTGTGAAACAGGTAAAGATTCTAAACATAGAGAACCTGACCATTACCTGAAATTGTTGTTTCATTTACAGATTAAAAACTGAGTATCACTGGATGTTATTTAGACAAATTCCGAGCAATTACATTTCACATCAAATATGAATAAAATGTAAAAGCTCACTGGCTCTATTCAATGCGCACATAGCTCAATTTATGCACTCTATTCAGTAAATCATTGTTTATTCCTCATATATTATATCAAGCATCACACTCAGGTTAATAATTGCTCCGGACATTTTCATTTCGTCTTCCAAGTTACTGGTACTGAACTATTGATGTTAATAAATACTGGTTGTAATGCCGATGAAGAGTAGTGTGAAGAAAATGCTCAACCATTTAACATCTGAGCAAATCAAACAAAAATGTGTAAAGAACATTTGTAATATTTATTTAAAAATTTTAAAAAACAATGAAATAACAGGACCAGTAAATTTGTAATTGTGCTGGGACACATTAGATTCGCTGGTCGATGTCACTTTTACTCACTATTTCAAGCAGAATTGTGTAAGGCGGTCGAGTTGGAAGATGTGTTTTGTACTGTTCAAACACGTCGGGAAGCTTGTTAGACCAAGATTCCACTGATTCTTCCAAAACGTCTCGTGGTTCAAAAGAAGGATTGTTAATATAACATAGAAACAGAATTGTATGCAGTATCTGTAAAAATTAACAATGACAAAGTTCAGCAATGACAATCAACTCTCTAGGATTGGTAATGAAGTTAGATCACAAAATTGTATCTTAGTCCTACAGTAAGGGAATATGGAGGGAAATTGTGGTCAAAAAAGCCCAACTCTAAAGGCAAAAAATACAAATTTCACACAAATGCTTTATTAAATTTTATAAAATTTATAGATAGCTGCAATATATTAACACTTAAATTATAATGATTATATGGGAATTCTGTCTAACAAATATTAGACCAAGATCGATGAAAATAACCAAATAAAATCTATTGCTCTAGTTTACGTTTACACAAGTTTATGATATTTAAACTATTCATTTGGAAGAAGTACAGAAAATAACTGCCAAGTAATTTTCAGCGCTGTTTAGTCTCATATATATCAGTTAGTACTAATTAACAGACATATCCTTCTAAACTTTATTATCATGACAATAAAACAAAAACAAAACCTCTTTAACGTATTGTTTTCCTCTTTCTCTAGACAGCTTCTTGCTTCCTACAGCACACTGGATGAATTCCACAGATATCTTTATAAACTGCATTGCACTTTTCAGAGACATCTGTGTCTGTGAATAGTTTTTTTCCATAAATTTATTACGTTCAATTCTGGTGAAGGAGAAGACATATGCATCATTCAACAGGAAGAAATTGGATTTGCGGAACAATTCTATTCAGAAATACACTGAAAACATTGCATTATGGTAATCATTTGTGGATTATCACTTATTTGTCACATGGTTCACCCGTCACGGTGAATATCAGCATGAGTAAACAATATGGAGCACATCGATCGCAGATACATTTTAGAAGCTAGGGTTGCTGCCTTGTATGGGAGACAATTAAAGTGAAGTTTGATAGTGCTGTTCAAAATTTTGAGGGGTATAGTCAGAATAAATGGGGAGAAACTGCTTCTGTTGGCAGAAGACTAGAGAACCAGAAAGCATTGACTTAAGGTAATTGGCAAAAGAAGCGACTTTAAGAAAGTCTTTTTATGCGGTAGGATCTGAAATGCATTATCTGATAACCTGATGGAGACAGATTCAACCATGGCTTTCAAAAGTGAACTGAGCAATTATCTGAAGAGAAAAGAATAACTACATGGCCATGGGGAAAGTATGGGGAACTGGGTCAGGTGAGTTGCTTTTCCAGAGAGCTGGCATTGACAGCATGGACCAAATGGCCTCCTCCTGTGCTGCAACTATTCTAGGATATCCATCATGATAAATCAGGCTCAAAACAGAATAAAACTACCCATGTTAATCTATTCAGAGATAGTAAGAACTGTCGATGCTGGAGTCAGAGATAACACTGTTTGGAGCTGGAGGAACACAGCAGGTCAGGCAGCATCAGGGGAGCAGGAAAGTTGATGATTTGGGTTGGGACCCTTCTTCAGAAATTTCTGAATGCTTTTCTGATGCTGCCTGGACTGTTATGTTCCTCCAGCTCCACACTAGACAAATAGTGAACCATCTTACCTTCTCTCTTCAGCTAACACTGGAACTAGGGGAAAAAAGAAACAGATTGTATTAGTTCTTAGAGTTTCATAAATTTATTGTGAGTAACTTCTACCAACTTACAAGATGCATTTAAATTAAATATTGATCTAATGATTTTTACTGATGAAGGTATACTCATTGATGCACAGGCCATTCAGGACAAGAAAATGAAAAAAAATCCTCTACGGTACATTAAGTTGAGTTTAAAGTTCATAAAAATTATTCCTTATTCCAAGTTTCACTCATGTCAAAATATGACACTCCTGTGTATCTTCAAGGGAAAAAGCTTCCTCTGACCTCCTATCACTGATGCCCAACATTAAACTCTCATGTATGTAGAGTAGACCTTGGAGCTATCTATAACCATGTGTCCATGTCATTCTGTGACCTGCTAAAGTAGGTGGTGATCAAGAAAGCTTTTGCAGCAGACATTGTTAGTGTTTCTAACCCAGCATGGAATCTACTAAATGAGTAGCTAATTCCTGGTCATTAATGCAATGAAAAGAACTTTAGAAACTCTACCATCATTATTCATAGCTCCAGAGTGCAAACATTCATGTAAATGTGCAGTTTATTTGCATTCTTTAAGGCATGGTGTGGGACATTCTATGATTGTGTTCATGACTTATTAGCAAGATGTTAGCTTTCATTCAAAAATACTTAGAAAATATAATTTTAATTGTTTCCAAAATCCTTGTGCAAATTTTACAATAACAACTTGCAATTATGTCGAGTCTTTAACACGGAAAATGTTCCAAGCTGTTTCACAGAAATGTGTGCAAATACCAAATTGGAAGGAGAAATTAGGGGCACAAGCAAAAACCTGGTCAAAACATGGGTTTTAAGTTGCGTCTTAAAGGAGAAGGGGTTTAGGGAAGGCATTGCAAACAATGGGGCCTGTGTGGCTTACAGCACAGACACCAATACCGGTGCAAAGAGAGGAAAGAATGAACAAGAGATCAGGATCAAAGGAACAGAGAATATAAGGGAACAGTGGGTGTAGGACAGGAGAAGGCTACATAGATAGACAGGAGTGAGACAAAGGAGGGAATTAACTCAATGATAAAAATGTTATGTTAATTTCAGTTAGTGTAACTCAGCAAGCATACAGATGATGGTGAGAAGGCCTTGCTGAAGAACAGAATACAAAAAATTGAACTTTCAATGAGCTTTTTTTGTTCTGGTTTCTAAGCATATCTGAGTAAACACTGGAGAATGGCAGGATGGCTTACCTCCTGTCAAAATGCTACCAGTTTAGCAAATTATCAAACTATACATAAGAGTGTACAAAACAACAGTACCTTCATTTGCAGAACGGTAACATCCATTGATGTAGCTGACTTTCTCATGGTACATGCGGCAGTTTTCACGCTTACAGCAATGATTTGGATTCTCTTGATCACATAAGAAGTACTTCCTCAGGGTCTATAAACGCACATTGATTTATTATTACACAACTAGTCTTCCCCAAGAAACAAATGAAATTACTAATAATGACTAACTTCATGACTGGTCTAAATTTTGTGCTGTACAGTTCTATGTTCTATCTCTAATTACCTCTGAGAAGATCATGGTAAGCCACCTTTATGTACCTCTAAAATCTACGTGGTATAGGTACAGCTACAGTGCTGTGAGGAATGGAGCTGGTGGCTTTTGACACACCAGCAGTGAAGGGATGGCGGCAGTTAGTCATACTTCCTTCTCCAAGTATCTTCATCTCTTTCGATTCTGCAATGCAATCACATTACTAGCACATAGATGCTGCCAAAATCTCAACAGTATTCTCAGGCAGTTTTGGAAAGAAATAGTAGGAAATAATGATTTAGATATATCATCACAGATATGATGGCTTCAATTTACTATGATAGTAATACATGCTATTATAGAATGGAGCGAAACAGATGAATGGAGGGATACAGATTCACGGCTAGAATTCCTGCAGTGCTACAGTTTGGATGTCATCCATCATTAGTAGGTGCATAAGACAACTGAGAAGTCAGTCATGGGCTATTATTGTTCTTAAACAACTGGCTGGTAAGGGACTAACATTATGTTATGATATAGGCCTAACATTTAACATTTAAAAAGAAATGCAAACTCCCCATTTCAACCAATGCACAAGATTTCACATTTTTAAACCAAACTAACTATTGTACAAATTACAGAACAAATTAAACAAAGCAAATATTGCTGACCTAACAATGTGGTTTATAATTCTTTACAGTGTGTATGCCCTCAGGTTTACTTTTTACCTCCCCAAGAAATTGCAAATTAGTTCTTCTGCAGCGACCATCATAAGTATGTCACAGTCCTCTGGAGAATTTCCCTCAGCTTCAGCTGCTACTTGAGGTAAAATTTTCATTTCTCCTCTCTTGACCATGGAGGTCCTGTCCCTCGTTCTTATTACATTTCTAATATAAATTAATCTGCAGGCTACTTTCTTTTCCAATAAGACATTGTGAGCCTGAGTGTAGATTCTCCCACTGGCTTCAAAAAATAGGAAATCTTTCAATGTTTGTTTCGTCACAAGTTTCCAAATGTGACTAAGTAGCCTTCCACACAGTCAATGACAAAGTCAGTGACTTACTGTGCTGACAGCACAGTTCCAGTTATGTGGCATTTATTTTGCATAAATTCTATCAGTGAGCTGGAATCCACACAAGGTCCAAACTGCAAAAAAGTCTTTTCCCAGCAAACATGCAGATAAATTGAAACCAAAAAGTCTTCCAAGTAAACACAGAATGTTGGAGAAACAGCTGGTCTGGCAGTATCTGTAGTGAAAGAGAAACTAATTTAATGTTTCAAGGCCAGTATGACTCTTCAGAACTGAAAGGTGTTTGGATATACTTTCTTCATACTTTTGACAGAGGCAGAAGCCCAATGCAAAAGGCAAAGAGGTTGTCAATCGTGGAGAAAGAGAAAAAGGAATATAAAATGCATGTAAATTAGTGTGTAAAAAGGTTAGAATGGATCCTCTATACTAAGAACAAATTAAACAAGATGCAAACAAGACAAGCCTGTGAGAGAGAGACGGTGAAAGGGAATGTAAGAAAAACGGATAACAGACAATAATGCGGTCAGTTTCTGAAGTTATGGAATTCAATATTGAGAGCTCAAGGCTGTAAAGTGCCTTATGAGGTGTTGTTCCTCGAGCTTGCATTGAGTTTCACTGGAACACTGCAGCAGGCCCAGGTCAGAAACGTTAGCATAAGAGCAACATGGTTTATTGAAAGGCTGAGCAACTGAGACGTCAGGGTCATTCTACAGACAGAGTGGAGATGCTCGCTCATGTTCTCATTTATAACGTTTTCTTTCATTTGATGATGTAAATGAGCTTTATAACCTTTCAGGACTCACTGAATTTGTATAAACTAATTTTGCCCCAACTCCCAAACCGAACCAATCTCTGTACCGCACTTCTTTGCAAACACAAAGAATAGCCCTCCCATTTTTTGGTTTCCTAACAAAGCCCTCCTGCTGTTTTATAATCACAGGTCTGATGATGCGTCACTGGGCTTGAAACAGTAACTCTGATTCCTTCCCCCAAATGCTGCCAGACCTGCTGAGTTTCTCCAGCAATTTCTGTTTTTGTTTCAGATCGCCAGCTTCTGCAGTTCTTTGTTTTATTATTTTGCTATTTTTAGATCTTCATGTTATAGGGGTTAAGCTGTTAAAGCAACAAGGCTTTAACCTTTTAAATGAAATGGACTCCAAGCTGCTTTAATTGAATTTTTCATTTGCTACAATTACACTTTAATTCTTAAAACCAGACATTATACATTTAAAGCTCATTCATAATTGCTATAGAGCTGAATAGCTTGCTGAGCCATGACTGAGGGAGTGAAAGAATGGTCAGCCACATCACTGTGGAGTCACACATAGGCCAGATCAGAGTTGGATGGAAGACTTCCTGTTCCTTTTTATAGTGCATCAGATGAGACTTTTAAACAACAATTGATGATAGTTTCATTGTCACAATCTTTAAAACAAACATAAGTCAAAATGGTCAAAAAATTGTTTGAATTGTAACAAGATCATACATACCTCTTGATTCAAATGTTTCTGGGAGCAGTCTCTGTTTGCGCACCTCTTTTGTTCATGCCACACAAGACAGACATCTGCTGATAACCTACAGCTATCTCTATGCAGAAACCGGCATTGTTGCTGTCAAAACAATGTATGATGCTTATGATTGACCATTAAAACAGTAAACAGTACTTCCCATCTGGAAATCTACATATGTGCTTAACAGGAAATTGTATGGAACAATTTTTATCAAATTTAATCACATTCACTTTTTCAGTTTCCAAAATGAGCAGGGATCCTTTTTGCCTTGTACACATTATATTGTGTGCATTGAATAAATGCTTTTTAAAATTCATTCATGGGATGAGGGCGTCACTGGCTAGGCAGCATTTATTGCCCATCCCTAATTCCCCAGATGGCAGTTAAGAGTCAACATTGCTGTGGGTCTGGTGTCACATGAAGGCCAGACCAGGTAAGGATGGCAGTTTCCTTCCCTTAAGAACATCAGTGAACCAGATGGGTTTTTCCAACAATCGACAATGGATTCATGGTCATCATTAGACTCTTATTTCCAGATGTTTGTGGAATTCAATTTCTACCATCTGCCATGGCAGGATTCAAACCTGGGTGCCCAGAACATTGTCTGGGTCTCTGGATTAACAATCCAATGATAATACCATTAGGCCATTGCCTCCCCTATTATTGAATAATAAAGCACAGAAGTTGAGAAATGTACAGAATAACAAACAACTTTTAATTTACTGAGCAGATAGATTATTTAAATTCATGGAAGTACATGATTTATTAATTCCAAGAATTGAGCTTTCAAATTCTAGAAAATGTTTAAACAAATAAATGATAAGGAGGTGAAATGCATATTTCACCAAATAAATATTCAGTAGTCACTTTCGATTGGATGAATATTTGAAGGAGGAAAAAAAGGGTTCATTCAAATTAAAAAGGACTTTAATGTGCTAGGGGCAGAAGTTATGGAATCACAGAATGGAACACCAGAGAAGGTGCCTCTGAGTCTGCACTAGTTCTTTGAAAGGCTTCAGTAAGCTGGAAGGCTGGTTTGCAAAGCAGAAAGAAGCCAACAATACTGGTTCAATTCCTGTACCAGCTGAGGTTACTATGAACATCTTGCCTTCTCAACGTTGCCCCCTTACCTGAGGTGTAGTGACCCTCAAGTTAAACTCAACCCCGGCTTTCCCTCTCTCATGAGATCGCGGGACTCTGGGGACTTTAAAGAATGGGGTACTTCAGTCCCACATTTATGTGGTTAACTATTTAAACCCTCTAATAAAATATGGTAAGCTCCTGTAAATAAACAAATAATTTAAAGGTCATTTCTACCATTGTGAAACATCATCAAAAGTAATGCAGTGATCTATCACTGTCTTTTTGAAGGATGGGAAATAAATGTGGTCTGGCCAGCATTTCCCTTCTCACAAAAAGAAAATTTTAATAATCAAAGATTTGCTTATGGTCCATGTAAGTTTCAATACATAAAATAAATATTTTGTTTATTTATATCAACAAAGAGCTGAATTAAACATACTTCTTCACATTGAGTCTGGTATTGATAGAAAAAGCAGTCAATGTCTTCTGGTTGGTAATCATTTCTCTGCAATAGAAATGTAACATAATCAATGTGAGAAATGTCAAAAGTACCTGAGTCCACAGGGTTTATTCATCTTTAAAGCTCTCTTGGATTTCACTGCTAGCTAGCCCATCAATGTTCTGTCATTCTCCTAAATTTATTGGTATATTTAAAGGCATTCCAGATCTCACTAACATTAGAATCATTGTTAATTTACACAGGAAAAACAATGTTGGATTTTCAGGAGAATCTGACATCCCTCCATTTTCAATGCCAATTGCAAAGCAATAGAATCAAGAAGGAAGGGAATTTTGCCAGAGATGTACAAATCCCTGATTTCACCTCATACTACATACAGTTTTGGGTGCCATGCCTGTCAGCTAGCTCAGTTGGCTGGACGGCTGTTTTATGATGCAGAGAGACGCCAGCGCCAACTGAGGTTAGCACGAAGGTCCCACCTGCTCCACCTTGCGTGAGGTGTGGTGACCCTCAGGTTACACTCAATCATCGCTCTCTAATGAGAGAGCAGCTCTTTGGTCCCTGGGACTATGGCAACTTTATTTACCATATATGAGGGATACACAACCTTAGAAGGCAAACAGCACGATTCACCAGAATATTACCAGGCTGTTAGACGATGAGGAACTACAGAAAATAGGCAGCTCTTTCCTCAAACATAAATCTTTAGTGAGAAATCACATCACTGAATGTCCACCCTGTCCTTTTAAATAGTATTGGCACGCAGCTTCGTTTGTGTGTGCTGGGATGGTTACTACTAAAGTTCAGTACCTGGTCTGTATGTGTGGCTTTTCGGTGTACTTTCATTTGCAGTTCCCCATTTGCCTTGCGCTCTACCATGACGTCGAAGCTGCGTGCGAACACTATTTAAAAGGGCAACAACACACTGCAGCAACACGGAACTACGCCAAGAGGAAGAAGAATACCTCTTCCAAGTGTTCAAGGATAATGGATATCCAAAGAACTGGGTCAGAAGATGCCTACAAGAACAGCATCAGAAAGATTCTACATGCCCCGACACACTCATCACACTACCCTACATCAGGAACACGTCAGAACACACCACAAGACTCCTACAACCGCTGGGCATCACAGTGGCACACAAGCCCACATCAACCCTATGACAACTGCTCACCCGAACTAAAGACCCACTCCCCACCATGGACAGAACCAATAACATCTATAAAATCCCCTGCAGAGACTGCGAGAAATACTACATCGGACAAACAGGAAGGAAACTAACAACAAGAGTACATGAACACCAACGGGCTACAAAAAGACACGACCAATACTCACTCATCTCAATCCACATGGACAAGGAGAACCATGACTTCGACTGGGACAACATCAAGATCCTGGGACAGGCTAGGCAGAGACAAGCATGAGGATTCCTGGAAGCATGGCACTCCACGAAGCATGCTATTAATAAACACATTAAACTCGACCCCATATACATTCCACTATGAAGGAAAACCGGAAGTGAGGCAATCCATTTCAACAGACACCAGAATTTAAAAACCAGGCGGGAAAACACACCGACGCTTCATCAGAGGCTGCACTGAGGATGTAACCAAGCATGGTAACTAAACGTCTGCAAAACAACAAACCAGCTTGGCGAGCCAACCAACCTCAACACCCACAATCCGAGCTACAGATCAACTCCGAAACCTTTGAGATGACATTACTGAGCCATTTTCTTCGGCCCAACAAGTCCACACTGACCCTTGGAGCATCCCATGCAGACCCATCCCCTTAAAACCCACCTAAGCTACACATCCCTGAAACACTACAGGCAATTTAGCATGGCCAATCCACCTAACCTGCACATCTTTGGACTGTGGGAGGAAACCAGAGTACCTGGAGGAAACCCACGCAGACACGGGGAGAATGTGCAAACTCCGCACAAACAATCGCCCGAGAATGGAATTGAACCTGGTTTCCTGGCGCTGTGAGGCAGCAGTGCTAACCACTGAGCCACTGTGCTGCCAAATTTGTTTTAAAAGCTACATTTAAGTGTATTATGAAGATGAAATCAATATTAGCATTCTTATGCATGTGTGAAAACATGCAGTCACACAGTGGGTTTGCAAGTTCCCCATAAAATAAAGACCCATTAAAACAAATTAGGTCTAAACACAGTGCCTTTAACACTCCAAGCATTTAAAACAGAGTTTAAAAATTTCTGCCTTCCTTTAAAATCACTATCGTAACTGCAGTTACATTTTTACACTGTAAAAAAACCCCACACATATCTGTTTCACTTTTTCAGAGAACAAGTGATCTATTAACATGCTTGTGGCTCAACAAAGGTCAAATGACACACACATCCAGTGCTAAGGAAAATATTTTTTGCAGTTAACGAACGTGCAAGTTTCAAAAGATGTTATGTACCCAAAAAAGGTATCTGCTCTGTTTCACTTCAGTATGTGTGCCTTTGACAAAATATTTTCTTTGCTTACTTTTTTTATTGCAGTTCACTGTTGTTACAACAAATTCACTTTGACCATTCTCCATTTTTCTGAACACACGCAAATCAAGAAACTAAATTGCATGGCCATCTCCTTTCCAAATATTCTAAATCAAAGGGTTAGATTATGGTGAAATACCATCTGAAGAGTTCAAGGCTGCTAATTCTCATTTGCAAGAAACAACTTAAATCTAGTTTTGCATAGCCTCTCAATGTTTTTGTAACGGATTGCAAACAAAAAGATGTGTGTATATTTGTGAAGGGTAGTATCTAAAGACTGACTGTACATGGATGCAGGGAAAGCACAAAGATAACTGGATGCGTTACAGAATCAGGTAACCATGTCTGATTTCAAACACACAGGTACCATTCACTGATGCCAAAACAGTCAGTGGTGAGTTAAACCTTATAACGAAAACAGCTAGTCCCTGACAGAAGCATGCTAATACAAATAAGAGTTATTCATAAGAACAAGAGATGATCCTGTCCAAAGTGAATTGTTCAAGTAATAGTTTGGTTCAACGGTATATGATATTTTCTCAAAAACCAGCTTAGCTACAATAGTGAGCCTCCATTTTTTAAACTCGTTGATCAATTCCTGGAATTTGGGACTGATGTCACTTCAGTGTTTTGGTGATAAGTGAGACGTATATCATTGATGGAGCCAAACGAAGCTGAAAAATTTTGGCACTAATTAGTAAACAGTAACAAAGTCCATCAACCTCAGGGAGGGTAACCAATTCAGTTCCAATTGTTTAAAAATAAAATACAAATTGTAAATAGCCACACTCTATTAGGAAAATTATGACCAGAAGAAAATTAGTTAGGACACATCTACCAAACATCAGAATATGCTATATATTTTACTGAGTAGAGGACCTTCAAAGTGCCTGTGCTTCTTTCCATTATTTCATTCCTCTGCCTAACCTATGAAGAATCCGTTATAAACTCCGAGTCTTGTAATAGATATGTTTCAAACAGATGATTGAATGTTCAAAGGCATAAAGTTAAAATCATTAGGTTGCACATGATTTCAAAATTATAGTAATATTTGACGGTAAAGTAAGCCCACCGGTTTAACAAACCAACTCTTAGGCCTGCCAATAAAAGTAAAAGCTAGTTTTACGAAATGCTGTCTAGCAAAATTGTAAATATTTACAATTACATCTGTGTACATAACTCAGAAGTCATGTCTAATGTTGGAACAGCAAATGGTGCAAACTCAATAGGTTGACTGGAATCTGCAATTAACTGACTTTTCTGATGTTGAACAGCACACTACTTGTTTCCAGTTCTGGTGTTATTTCCACTTTGCAGTAGTAGGGAAATACAACAATTGATCTTTACCCCAGTATTCCATTGAGTGTGTTATGTGTTTCATTTTGGTAACCTATTCCAAATTGAAATTTAAAGTGTAACCCACATTCGTGTGTTTCTTTGGATGTCGTTGCACTTACAGTGATATATTATTTGCTGAATCTTAAAAGGCAGCTGAAATATACAGGGGACACTGGATTTATTGGGTGTGTTTAGATTTTCCTACAATGATGAAGTACAGCTGAGGATATGGTGTGTGCACAAATCTAGAACTTCCAAATCCACAAAACGTAAAATGATGTGGGCTGTAGCAACAGTGGCTGCAACAGGAAAAATAAAGTTAAGTGAAGACTAAAAAAAAGTTGCAGATTATAAATTAATTTTCTCTAAGTGAATTATTGGAGTTGCTTCACCCAGCAGCTGGACTTTTGCTACAAATCAGAATGGACAGTTTAGCAGATATCAACCAGCATATATTCTGCCAAACTAAATTTTGTTTGTTCTGTGCACTTAGCCCTAAAATTGAAATAGCCCTTCAGGAGGCAGATTGATTTTAATCTCACTGAAGTGTCTCTAATAATATTTATGTCGGTGAGTTATTAAATCCCCATGCAAACCATGTAATGTGGTTGTTGAATACAGATCTTTCCTTGTGCATTTTCTGGAAGAAGAATTGTGAGCACATCTCATCCTGCTCCAAGTGCAGACCCTGGACCAAAAGATTATCTTAGAGGCCTCTGAGGCAAAGAGTGAGGCTTGCTGGCTCTTTGCCTCTTGGAGATCCTCTGTGACTTTGAATATAGGTTAGCTAGGGGTCCTTGTATCACACTTTGTCAAAATCTGCCTTGAATTCAAGAAATCATCTCATGTTACCTTTAGAATTCTGGTCCTTTGTGCACATTTGGGCCAAGGCTATAGTGAAGTCAGGAGATAAATGTCCCTCGCACAACCCAAACAGAACCTGGTTAATAGGTTAGAAGTACTATTAAATAGTATTTAATCCTTGGGTGAGGTGGTTGGTTGAATGGCGATGCAGTGTGATGCCAACGGCTTGGGTTCAATTTCCAGATTGGCTGAGGTTACAGTGAAGGACTCTCCTTCTCAACCTTTTCCCCTCACCTGAGGTGTGGTGACCCTCAGGTTAAACCACCATCAGTCATCTCAGAGCAGCCTATAGTCTGGTAGGACAACGACTACAATGCCTTTTATGAAAAGCAAAATCTAACACTTTTTTGATAATTGATAATACTGATAGAACCATGGAAGACAGGCCGTTCTATATGAATCATGGCTGATCAGCCAGCTCAGTACCCTATTCTCATCATCTTCTCATTGAG